TCCTTCTTCATTCTACCATGAAAAAAGGTAATAATATTATCCTAGCAAAAGCTGGGCAATGACAGAGGAACGGTTCCAAACGTATCATTGTCTTGGCAACAAAACCTATTTTCCTCACATCCTGTTTTGTGCTGATGCGTTTGTAGACTCTGGTAACCTGTCAATATACTTGTCAGTCTACTAATTCCTGCTTTAATTATCACAATTAAGCTATTTGTGGCCAGATATACAATGTTCTGTCACGGGAGTTAAAAATACCGAATTATAGACTATTACGTTAGTAGCTAAAATCATCAACACATTGTGAATTCTAAATACCGAATTTTAAGTTATTCACCTACAAAAGCTAAACTCGTCAAAACACGGATTATGTGGCGGTTTGATTATATGGGGCTGTACGAAAACGTTGATCTTTACGAACTTGACAGCTCTTGGCAAAATCCCAGCTCCATATCACATTTCGTTTCTTTCATTTAATTACAAAAAACAGACGAACGGAAGGACATGGCTAATCATTTTGAATTTTTGGTCTTGTTGGGTCTAAAATTTTTATTTCGAACAGTTACAAACGGAATGACAAGCCAGGATATAAAAATGATTACAAAAGTCTTCTTCACGATGGAGAGAAATCCATGGTACTATCAAACAAGTAAAGTTGAGTTTAATACTTATATCCGGTAAAAAATTCTGCTGTTCACTTTGTTATATTTAACTTCATTGAAAACGGGTATTAACTTGTCAAATGTAAAATGGTGGAGATGAATTTGAACATATGATTACACATTTTTCACAGCTATGCGGAGGTCTTTTGCAAAAAAAAAAAAAAACTTATTATCCTAATGTACATTTTTGTTCATATGTGTACATTATTTTATGTGCCTTTATTTGCCGGCAAATTTCCAGTCAGTTTTCCATCGAAACTGGTTCTCATTTTGCCGGCATTGTGTCTTTGCCGTGTTATTGTTGTATTTTTATTGTAAGCCACTTTAGGCTTATCTCATTTAAAGCTTACGACAGAGAGAAAAAGAGAGAGAGAGAGAGAGAAAGACTATTTTTCCGATTTTTGTGTCTTTAAGTGCCCATCTATCCATGAAAAATGTGCTGAAGATCTATTAACGCAATTACCTACAAGGTCCAAGTCCAAAAGAGATGTACTCATCTAGGTAGTGTTTGTAAGAATTTGCTACGAACGGGATAGACATATAAATGTCAATAATTAAAACTGGAGCTGGAGCCCCTTTTGCGCATGGAAAAGTTCCAAAGTTCACCCCAGTCAGTTTGTGTCACATATACGTACATACAAACCAACAAACACACACACATGCTATTAAATAGTGAATTTCCAGTTGCCGGTTTTTAAGAGAAACTAGTTTTCAGTTTGCCGGTATCATTACTTCGTCTGCGCTACTTGGAAACTGTTGTTGTGCCTTCATATGCACATCGTTACTTCTTCGCTATATCGAAAACGAGTTGTAAAAATTGCCAACATTTCGTGCTGAACTTGAATTCGCATCTGAAAATGTATCCAAATTTACGACATGCAGAATGTACATCGTCTGTGCCCCATTCGTGGGTAGATATGCACGTAGAAGGAGATGTATACATTTACTTGCAAAAATATGCACATGGATGTAGGTATGAGGGTACATACGTGTGTGTACGAATGTACCCATGGCCTGGATGGTTTTCTTGTTGTCTTTTTATTCGTTTCGTTTTTACATATGGTACAGAGGTAGCTGTATTTTACTGGGACGAATGAAAAGTGGATGAAAACTACAGAAATGAAAAATACAAAACTTCCAACACGATTATTGAGCTTTTCGGTAAATTCCTCCAATGTCCTTTTCCGTCCCGTTTATCTTGCAACGTAACAAAATTGCCACAAGATGTCAGAAAAGCGAAACGACTTTAACGAAATGCTGCGTGCAAAAATAGCAAATAGGGGAAAATATGTGGAGACACAGTTTCAAACAGAAAAATGTTAGTATTAACTAGTTAAGAAGCAGCTTTTTACCCTCCACCATTTGGAAGAGACTTGCAATTTTTCAAAAAAAAAAAAAAAAAAAAAAAAAAAAAAAATCAATGGGAAAATATCGCTCAAATGAAACCCGTTATACGGGGGCTATACGAAGACGTGATCCTGCATAAGTAATTTGTGTCATAGGCTGTAGTAACTGTTCCGAACTTTATATACGAAATTTGAAACAATTCCGGTGAATAATGTCGCAAAAATCATGAAAATACCGAATATCGGGGGATACCGTTATATGGGGGGTATACAATATCGTGGACCTATATAGACAAGTCTCTTCTAGGGAATAAAGTACTCACAAAGGACTTCACTTCATCAAAATACCGAATAAAGGGTACCGTTATATGGGGGCTATACGATATCGTGGTCCTATATAGACAATTCTCTTTCAGGGTGTAAAGTACTGACTAAGAACTCCTTGTTTAAAATTTCCGACAATTCCATTAGAAAATGTCGCTAAAATCATCAAAATGCCGAATATAGGGGGGTGCCGCTGTATATGGGCTATACGATATCGTGGACCTATATAGATAATTCTCTTCCAGGGGATAAAGTACTCACAAGGAAGTCCTTGTGTGAATTCAATTCAGACAATTCCATTGAGTAATTTGGCTACAATCATCAAAATACCGAATATCGGGAAGCACCTTTATATAGGTGGTACACGATATCGTGGACCGATGTAGCCCATCTTCGAACTTGGTCTGCCTGCAGACAAGAGACAGATATGTGCAAAATTTTAGCTTCCAAGCGTTAATTCGTGATTACAAGAGACAGAGCTAAATCGTCTTAAGTTGAGAATACATAAAACTCTTTTTTGAATGACTTAAGTCATCGGCTGGATTCTTCGGAAAATAACAAAGGAGCATAGGGCCAAAATCGAACTAAGTCAACCTAAACTCAACCTCCTTTGTTTCTATACAAAGAAGCCAGCCGATGGCGTAAACCTTTTAAGTATTATCACATTTATTTAAGACGGTATGAATTACGTAGAAATTGAGCAGAGTCCATGACTTAGCCCAAACTATACACATCGGAATGTTAGCCAACTAAAGTCAAATCTAATGCTGAACTTGCACCTACATCGAGATGCAAAGCCGAAGAACATCCACATACCTTTATGCGTCTCTGAAGGTGAGAACACATAGAACTAGTTTTTTACAGTCATCGACTGGCTTCTTTATAAAAGGAACGTAAGGCTGGAAATACATAAAGAGCATATTTGGCTCGCTTAAGTCATCGGCTGGCTCCTTTGTTCATTTCCGAAGAAGCCAGCCGATGACTTATGCCAGCCAGATAAGCGCTTTATGTATTCCCACCTTAAGGTTATCAAGGATAAATTATATTCTGAAATTGGCCTAACCTAACCTAAAGCTCCTTTGTTCTTTTACGAAGAAGCCAGGCAATGACTTAATCCAGTAAAAAGGTCTTTTATTTGATTACACCTTTATTTTTCATTTCTGGCTTAAGTCACCGATTGGCTTCTTCGTAATAGAACAAAGGAGCGTAAGGCACAGAAGTATAAATTACGGATCGAAATTGAACTAAGCCGACCTAAAACAACTTTGTTCTTTTACGAAAAAACCAGCCGATGACTTATAGGTGCAAGCATGGTACAATGAAGACAAGGTAGCGTATAGCAATCACCTGAAAACGATTTCTTCTTATGATAGTCTAGTAATGGGTGATGTACCAGAAGGGGTTCGCAGTTATATGCCACCTTCACAACAGATCTTGTGTTAGCAAAAATGTTTGTATGTGTGATAATTGAAGAGAGTTGGATGCTTATTTCGCTTTCTTTGAGCGTTTTGTTTTTCAAAATCCGGAACCCTGTGTGGGGGAGGTACCAGAAGAAATGGTCCGATCTCTACCATCTTTCTAACAAATATTGTCTTAATAATTCAATTCAATTCAAATTTATTGAGTCTTTTTTTTAACACGAAAATTTACAATTTTGAAGTGAAGAAAGAAATACTTAAAACTATAATGTTTTGTTTTAATGACTAAAGCTGGGAATACATAAAGCGCTTATTTGACTGGCTTAAGTCATCGGTTGGCTTCTTCGGAAATGAACAAAGGAGCCTAGGGCCAAAATCGAACTAGCTTAACCTAAAACTCCCTTGTTCATTTACGAAGAAGCCAGCCGATGACTTAAGCCAGCCAAATATGCGCTTTATGTATTTCCAGCCTAAAGCGTATTATCAGCGTCTGGCTTTACAAAAAATTGTTAATTAGTGTTTACTAAACTAAGTGTGTATATCGTGCTTGCTCCCGGCACTACAATGTATTGTGTTAATAGAAATAGTAAGATGTGCCAAATCTGAATGGAATCGGGTGTCAATTTCGCGTTTTATGAGCTTCATGGATATTCAGAATATTGACCTGTTGTGGGGGAAGTGACAGAAAAAGTCTATTGAGACGATCGGACTCTTACATCACATTTTATAAGAGTTGTAATTATTCAAAATTTGACCCTTTGTGAGGGAAGTACTTGATGGAGTGGACCGATATTGTCCATTTTCGCACCTGACCTAGCACTGATGCAAATATTAGGATTTGCAACGTTCGAGCAAAATCGGATTATCCTTTCTCTTCCTATGCCGTAAATTATTTTCTATGAATATTTTGACCATTTGTGGGGGAGGTACCGGAAGGAGTGGACCGATATAGCCTACCTCCGAACTCGATCTAAGTTTGACAATGATATTACTATGTACCAAGTTTGGATTAAAACGGATCTCCCTTCGAGAGATATCGTGATCACTAAGTAGACAGACAGGCTGGCGGACGAATCTGGTCCAAAGAGACCTATGGTTTGAAACCGTTGTTTCGATGTGGTACCTTTTGGCCTGTGGATAGGAAGAAAGATGGTTCAAAAGTAATCTCGATTAGGTTAATCCTTACAAAGTATACAAGTCATTTTGCGATGACACTGCTAATCTGAGTTATTCAAAAAATCTCAAAACTGAGACAAACTGACAGACAGACAGACACACATACCAGTCACTCCTCACAGGCACGCCCGCACCCACCGCAATTACACAATGGACATGTATGGCATGCATATGGACAGCTCGGTTGTACGAATTGCTCTTCGAATGCAGGAATGAAATGCAAGCTAGAGAGCTGATACCGGTGTGTAGCAAAGGGCCAACTGGAAAGGAGAAGACGCAAAAAGAAATGGTAAAACAAAAAGACAACAAAAAGCCGACACACGCAAACACACACACGGACACACGCGCGACATTCCATGCAAATACACACATTTCCATTCAGCACTGCAAACTGGTTTGGAAAAGGGAAGCAGCGACAGATATTCAGCCGTGGCGGTCGGTCGTGCCTTCCATTTCAGCTGCGAACTGCTGCAAATACATAAACCAGTTAAGAAAATCATCGACGGGCGTGTTGTGTGTTTCTGGCGACGACAACGACGACGCCGTATCACTCGGCGATTGCATTCAAACGGTTTCAGACCAGACGGAAGAATAAAAATTTTGTGTAAACCGAGTGAGTGAGCGACCGACTGACCAAACGACAGATCGACACACAGACAGTGCCAAAGTCAAAGCCAGCCAGTGGTGTCAGTGTGTGTTCAACCATTCAAAGCCCAGACTGGAGCTGAGCCTAGTGATTTTTTTGCTGTCGCCATTGCCTGAAGAAGCCTTCAGATACAGAGCGTGTCGCGAAAGAAAAAATCAATTGTTCATCGCGAAAAAAGAATAGCCCGGTGAAAATTTTCCAAAATCCCTTTGAGAAGAAAATTGAAAAATCGACTAAAGCTACGGAAAATGTCTCTGATTCCATTCATATTGGATTTGGCCGATGAGCTCCACGAATTCAGCCGTTGCTTGGCCAATGGAATCGATATCAACGATTTCGGATTTGGTCTCTATACTGGTTCCGAGCAACAAAATCAATCGCAACCCCCATCAGCTTCAACATCACAACAACAGCAGCAGAGTCCCAGACGTAGCCGGACCTCATCGTTTTCCTCGTTTTGGATGCCGACGAAACGCCATCATCCATACAATCGCATCAAAAGTGCCTGCTGTGGCAAAAGCGCTGGCGAGGAGGGCGGCGCCACGGGCACCAACGCCACCACTGCCAGTCCTGAAAAAGACGCTACCCCAGTGCCAACACCGAACAAGACAGCTTCCTATTCGGTGGTCAATAAGAACGGCTTCCAGGTCAGCATGAATGTGAAGCAATTTGCTCCGAACGAGTTGTCGGTGAAAACAATCGATAATTGCATCGTGGTAGAGGGTCGCCACGACGACAAGGAGGATGGCCATGGTGTCATTTCGAGGCACTTTGTACGCAAGTACATGCTGCCAAAGGGATACGATCCCAAGGATGTGATGTCGACTCTATCTTCGGATGGCATTTTGACTGTAAAGGCTCCGCCACCTCCTCCGCCTAGTGCAAAGGTTGACGAGCCGAACGAACGAATTGTGGAAATTCAGCCGACACCTGGACCAACCCAAGTGGTGCCAGCCACCGTGTCTGCAGGGGCACAGCCTAAAGAGCAGACGAAAAAGCCATTATCTCCAGCGGCTCGCGAAGAGTGTCAATTGCCAGAGAAGAGACAAAAACTCGATGTGGCCCAACAGCAGCAGCCGCAGATGGATAAAAAGCAGGAGGTGGTGCAGGAGGAACAAGACACAGTGAAACAGCAGCAAGCTCCTCCAACACAAACAATACCGGCAACAAAAACAACACAATCGCAATCCACATCGACTCCACCACAATCGCCATCATCGGGGGATGCAGCAGCTGCCGGGGCTGGTGCACTTAACGACAATGAGAAAGTTGAGGAGGAACAAACAGCTGAAATTGATGATAAACAACAGCAACAACAACATCAGCAAAAAGAAGACGACCGAGTCGATGGAAAGGGGGAGCAACAACAGCAAACAGAGGAAGAAATAACTGATGTAGAGACTAACAATGCCGTGGCTGCCATTACAACTGCTGAAGAAGATAAGACTGAAAATCAGCTGGAAACTAAAGAGTCTGCCATGGAAATCGATGAGACTGAAAACAACAAAACTGCTGAAGCAGACGAGGAAGGTGGCGAGGAACGAGACATGGTGGAGAAAAAACTGCCCGAAACTAACGGCAGCGACAACATCGGAGAGATTGCCGAAGCAATTGAACCGGCTGCCGAGTCCTGCACCAACACAACTACCAGTTCCGCTGAAAAAAGTAACGACGAAGTTCCTGCTGAGGCTGTGAGTGAAGCTGATGGCCAACCCCCAGAGTCCAATGCCATGGAAGTGGATGGTGATGATGATGTGGCAGAACAGACAAACAATACAGCAGCTGATGAAGATGCGACGAATGTTGGTGCCGGCGAGGACAAACTGAAGGAGGGCGAGAAGGAAAAGAAAGCCGATGACAAATGCCCAGAAACAGCTGAAAATTCCAACTCCACACCAATAAACAATGACAAAGAAGACAATAAAGCAAACTCCAAGTCAACCGGCGAAACTCCAGCTGACGCCGCGGACTCGGTTGCTGCTGAATCTGCCAATGACAAAGTGTCTGATGCAGAAACAGCTGTAGACACCACCACAGCCACAGCCACTACCATTGCCACAGACATTGATGTTGCCCTACTCAAAAAGGCTGCCGCAACAGCTGACGCTGCCGAAATCACAGCTGCTGCAGAAAATGCTTTGCTCTCGGAATCCATGGATGGCATTGCAACCACTGACTCGCCAGTGGATACCGTTGAGTGTTCTCTCTTTGCCAAGTCATTGGGAAATGGAAATAGTAATTCAGCAGCAGCCCTAGTGGCCAAGGAAGAAGTCGCAAACTAGACAACGCCAGAGCTCTCCCTGTCACTTTTTGTTTTAGGTAAAGTGACAGCATAGAACTGAGAACAACAAATGAGAGACTATTATTGTAATGCAGATTTTATTGCGGAATTTTTTCCTCTCTCACTCTCTATCTGCCGCCAAACACTGACTCAACGAAGGAACGAACGAACGTACGAAGAAAAATGGAGCTCTGGGAAGTGCGCATTAACTCAACAGATACAATGAACGACACACAAACACACACACACACAATCACTCACTCCAATCCACACAAACACACACATGCACACGCAATTCATCCAGTCACGATGATACAGATACTATTTCGCCAGAAGAGGAGTACTTAATTTTGCCAACAACCGAAACACCATCAACCGCAAAAAAAAAAAAAAAAAACAAAGAATTAAATCAACCAAGAGGAAAACAACAACAATAACAACAACAACAACAACGGCGTAGCGTAGTGGCGCCAACAAAAACGTCAGCTAAGCTGTCGGCGGCGGCAGCAACAACAATACCTTAGACATAATCTATAACAACAACAACAACCAGCCGTACGTAGCAACAGTATAAAGCCCGGGCCGTAGCAGAACCGGAAACAGAGGCAAAAGCAGCGGCTTCTTGACTCAGGCGCAATGCTCTGCAGCCCGTATTCCTAATTTTCCTATGCTCTTATTAATGAAATATACCTATACATATATGCATATTATTATTATTTTTTTATTATTATTATTGAAAATTATTATTCCTATCCTAGGATGTAGAAATCAATTATGGAAATAATTCTTAAGTTTTTTTTTTTTACTATTATTATTATCCTTATCATCATCATCATCGTCGACTACAGGAGGTTATGTTTTAGGCCAAACAACAGCAGCAACAATTCCATTGTCCCTCGATTAACCATCAGGAGCACAGGCAGACAGACGACAGACAGACAAACAGACATACCGACCGACAGACCGGCACTCTCACTATTGGATTGGATGAATGAACCGCTGCTAACCGATTGGGAATTGGAGAACATTTTCAGATGTTAAATTAAGCAGAGATTCCAGCTTTTATTTGAACTTTAAAAAAGTATTAATTTTAAGTATTTACATAATGAATAAAAACAAAAAGAACAACAACAACAAGAAGAAGAAGATGAAGATGAAGAGAAAAATATATAAAAACGAAAAATTATTAATGAAAACACACAAAAACGATATACATACATAAATTGCGATCAAATCAATGAATTAAGAAAAATAAAACAAAAACAATTGAAATAAAACAAAAACAAAGAAAAAGAAATACCGATATTATGAATATTAAAGGAAAGTAAACAATGAAGAAAGATAGAACAACAACAACAACACTTACATAATGGTAATCTCCATGGCAGAAAGCCATTCAACATTCAAAGAATTAATTGATGATTAACATCGTCATCATCTTCGGCGTCGTTGGAACGTCGTCAGAACGACGAAAATGGTATTACATAAATAAATGAAATAAAAATCTTAAACTACATAAATTATTGTATGTGAGAATAAATAAATTTCAAAATGTGTGTTTTATTTTTGGACTCTGTTCACTTAGCTGTTTTGTGTTTGCCAAAAGTCCTTTCTTCCGTTCATTACGTTTGTAGTTTTGAAGAGAGAAAGCGAAACCTCATACCACCATAGTATTCCGTTTGTAACGCTTCAAAATGTACATTTTAGACCCCACAAAGTATATATATACTTGATCAGCATAAAATTCTATGTCGATTCAGCGATGTCCGTCCGTCTGCGGAAATCACTCTAGCTTCCGAACAAAATGAAATATGTTGATAAAATTTTACTCAAATGTATATTATGTCTGCAGGACTTTTTGTATTGAAAATGGGTCATGTTTGATATAGCCCCCATATAATGGCACCTCCCTATTTTGGGTATTTTAGTGATTTAAGCGACATTATTCATCGGAATTGTTTCAAATTTGGTATTTGAAGTTTGTATTGGATACTACAGCCTACGACAGAAAATTGTTATGTGCAGGCCCACTGCTTCGTATAGCACCTATATAACAGTATCTCCAAATATTCGGTATTTTGATTGTTTTAGCGTCATTATTCACCGGAATTGTTTCAAATTTTCTACTTGAAGTTCGTAATGGATACTACAGCCTAAGACAGAAAATTGTCTCTGCAGGTACACGTCTTCGTATAGCCCCCATATAACGGTAATCCCCGATATCCGATATTTTGATGATTTTAGCGACATTATGAACCGGAATTACTTCAAATTTGGTATTTGAAGTTCGTAATCGATGCTACAGCCTTAGACAGAAAATTGTCTGTGCGAGTCCACGTCCACGTCTTCGTATAGCCCCCATATAACGGTAACCCCCTATATTCGGTATTTTTTCAGCTATATTATTCACCGATTTTTTTTTTCAAGTTTCGCATTTGAATATTCTAATATTCTAATGGCTTATAACAAAAGTTGCCTCTGCAGGTCCACGTCGTCATATAGACCTTAATATAACTGCTACATTTGGTATTTTTAAAATTTTAGTAACATTTTTAACGGATTTTATTTTTCTGAAAATTGCCAAATTCCTTCCAAATGGTAGAGGGTATTCAAAGATCGACCCGGCTGAACTTACAGATTTTTTAATTGTTTATAACCTCTAAACATATAATGTACAGTTCCAGGCAAATGACGACAAATTAAAGCATACCCTTAAGGCTTTAAGAATTCAGAATTCTTTAAGAATATTAGACGTGGCTAAATGAAGAATTCCATGTGGCTAAATGTAGAATTCCATACGGAATCATTTGAAATTGAATTTTATGGTAATTTTTCTAATGTCAACACATTTTTTCGGATTTTTTAATATTGAATATTCACAATTTTATATTTTTTCTGCCACATTAGGATTCGGATTTTGGTCAATTTTGCTACTATTTACGACATTACTTTTTACATGAAACTACTTCTCTCTTCTCTATGAAAACAAAATATTTCTATGAGCCTAGAAAAGTATTTTTTTCACAAATCCATGGCCGTAAAAAATTATCCTGTTATAAATGCATCTAAAAATCCATTATTTTCAAATTTTCAATATCGTATATTTACGATATATGGATTTTCACTATAAATTAATTTTTTCCTGCCACATTTAAACTATATTCCAAAATTCAATCCATGATTTGGTTTTAGATCACTTTTATAATATCGTAAATGTACGATATTGTATTTTTTGTACATGTAATTAATATTTAGGAAGAAAATCCATAGGAAATCATTTGAAATTGAATTTTCAGCTAAATTTTCCCAATATCAACATATAATTTTCCAATGTCGAACAAAACTAAACACATTCTAAAATTTGATGCTATTTCCGGCATTTTAGTTTTCTTCAATAAAATTAAAAAAAAATGTAAAAATTATGGGGTTTGACTTTGTTGCAGATAAAAAAACTGCAATAAGTCAAATTCCAAAATTTTTAAATTTTTCTTAATTTTATTGAATGAAAGCAAAAAATGTCGGAAATAGCATCAAATTTTAGAATAAGTTTAGATTTGTTCGAATTGGTCACCTTTGGCACGAATTATGGCCTTTGAACGGCCAATGAAACCGTCACACGCTTGCTTTCCTAAATACTTCAGACACAATAGTTGGACTATTGGTATCCGGAGATTTTGGTGGCTACTCTTGGGTGGCTCGTGCTGAGTCCTGTTAGAATGTCCAAGGTCTGCAGTCAAATTATATGCGTGCCCAAAGCTTTAATACACCCTCCAGAATATTTTCGCGATAATATTCGGCATTTATTCTGATGCCACGGCCGATTAATACGAGCGGAGAGCGACCGTCGGCTGTTATGGCGGCCCACACCATCACCATGGCCGGCGCTTGAGTTCTGGTGGCCAACTGAAGGTGCAAATTTTCAGCTGACCTCTTTGGCCAGTAAACACTATCATTTTGTTTGGTTACAAACTGCTGGACAACGAATGTTTTTTCATCGGAGAAACCCAAATTCCGCAGTTCACCACTTTCGGCCAAGCGAAGCAACTCTTTAGCTCTTTTGGGTCTATTTTCTTCCTGTTGCGGTGTAAGATCTTGCACTTTTTAGAATTTTAATTTATGCTGATGTTGCTGTTTTCTTCCGTCCACTTCCTTGACGTTGAGCTACGCGACCAGTATCGCAGTAACGAGCGATGGTACGAGACACATTTAAATGCTGGAGTGCTCTAACGATAGCCACTTGTGGTTTTCCAGCCAAATATCAAAAAAATCGCACTATCACGCTTGAGTTCTATCACGAATAACTTTTTTTTCTGGAAAATTCTCACCAAGGTGCTTTTGTACGCTTGTAAACAATATAATAAGCTGTCACTGGAATACTGTTATTAGCTGTCGGGCGAGAATGTATATTAAAATCTCAACTACATAGCGTATACGTCACGTGAATCCTATTCATAAATCCAGTGGATAGTATTTGACGTATATGCTATTGAATTGACATTTGAGATCGAGTTGATACAAACGTACTTCAAAATTCTTCAATGCGTAGATGCGCTTTATGCAATAAAGTTGAGAATACATAACACGCTTTTCTGGCTAGCTTAAGTCATCGGTTGGCTTCTTCGTAGAGGAACAAAGGGGTTTTAGGTTGACTTAGTTCGATTTTGGCCCTACGCTCCTTTATTCTTTTCCGAAGAAGCCAGCCGATGACTTAAAGGTGAGAACACATAAAACGCCTTTTTGACTGGCTTAAGTCATCGGCTGGCTTCTTCGAAAAAGAACTAAGGAGCGAAAGGCCAACATCGAACTAAGTCAACCTTAAAGTGAGAGTACATAAACAGCTTAAAGTCTTCAGTTGGCATATTTTGTGACATATCAAATCCTCAAATCCTGCCGTCTTTGTTTTTTATAATTTGACACAAAAAAGCCTAGCCATGATGCCAAGCTGCTTAGCGTACCCTCACCTTAAGTCAGATAAAAAAGCGACTTAAGCCAGTCAAAAAAAAAAGGTTTAATGTAGTCTCACCCATGGTAGAAAAATACAGGTAGATGCATCAACGCTTGGGAACATTGATATGTCAAAAAAATTAATTTTTTTTTCAAATGAAAGTAGATTTTTATATGCTTTCTTATACTACGTCATACCAAAGACCTAAAATGGTAAAGACTAGACAAAATGCATTTTGAGCAAATGGTTTGTGTCTACGATACATAGAGTAACAGCTCATGGCAGAGACATGTTAATATAAAAACCACTATTACAGAAACGGATATCAAATAAAAATTTGAAAAATCCAAAATTTTGGTTTCAAAATTCTATTTCATGGACCTTTCCGAAAATTTGCACATTGCTTTGGCGGTTTAAATCAGTTAACATTTGTAACGATGTTGTTATGATATCGTAACAACAGAGGTATTTTCACAGGGTTACCATATCTTGACTCTGTCTTGTCCTATCTTTACACTTCTATGTCTTTGGTCATACGGAGGATAGGATATTACACATTTTTACAAATTTAAATAATTTTTCATGCAACATTTTCAATTCCAAATTTGGTTTGACAGTTCATTGTCCCAGCAGCTGTGTCGATGCGTCTACCTATATTCTTCTACCAATGTCTCATCTTAAAAACTAACCTCTAGTTTTTGGTCAATAATAGACTGCTTATCCGACCTTTTATGCAAACAGTAAACAACAAGTACACACATTTTGACATTCCGCCATGTTTACTTTAATGGTGTATTCTCAATTTATGTGCAAATGATCCTATCCGCCATTTTTATATGGCCCGACCTGTAACCCATTATTGTCGGTACATTCTATTACAACTGAACAAATCTGTCTGTCATCTGAAGCACCTTTTTTCTGTAATTTTTCACATCGAAATGGCCAACTTTCTAATGGTAGAAATCAAAACACATGAATCACTTCTCTTGGCCGTTGTGGTCTTTTGGGCAGCTTGCGTCACAGGAAACACTGAAAGAAAACATTTGTTGCAAAGCTTTCGCCAGGGACTTTTGTGGTGACTAATGGCCTGTGCACAGTAATGCCAAATTCATAATTCTCGTATTGCGGGTCAGAACGTCATTATGAAGTAGCCAGCCACTAGTCGTCAATGCCATCAATCGGATGGATGGATAGATGGATGAGAGGCGGACGAAACATCCGAAAATTGTTGTTCTTGAGGAACTTGTCCACAACAAAATTGAAAATGTTTACCTTTGTGCAAGTATCTCGGGCGAGTGCATTTTATTCAGTTGCCAAACCTTTTAGTCAACACACACGCGAATAGAATCGAACAGCTGCCGCGGTTGCTGCTGCTGTGGCTGCTTTTGAAAAAAGAAAATAATTATTGCTCGACAGGCCAAGAAGACGACAATGTCACTGGTGCCAACGACATACCATGATCTTGCGCGTGAATTCGATCGTCCGCCGCTGTATTATCCGCCATACGATTTTCATTTGTATCCCTACCTTTGGGATGATCCGCGTTTGTGGTGGCCCTCGACGAATTCATTGCTGAGACCAATGGACGAGTTAGTTACACGTCGCGTACGCAACCAATCGATTCAGTCGCATCTGCTGGATTGGGCCTATCCCCTGCGCTGGGACAACTACTACAACGGAGAACGAGTCCATATCGACGACAAGGGTTTTCGCGTCGAGATAGATGTGCGTCAATTCAAGCCCCACGAAATTACGGTCAAAACCACCGACGACTATGTCGTTGTGGAGGGAAAACATGCTCGACGCAACGATGGCAACGGCCTTGTGGAACGACATTTCCTCCGCAAGTATCTCCTGCCCCGCGGATTCAATGCCAACGAGGTGATTTCGGATCTATCCTCTGATGGTATTTTAAGCATCAAGGCGCCACCTCCACCGCCAGTGAAATACTACAAACCAGGTGAACGCTTGGTCAAGGTCCATGAAACTGGTAAACTTGCTCTGCCATGGAAATAGGCAGCGCGAAGTGAAAATTAGTGGATAATAAAAGTGCAAGTGCAAACGGGGAGAGAGTGTGATCATCGTGATTAGCCAAAATAAAAAAGAAAATAAATCTTGTTGTTGTTGTTGTTGTTGTTATCTGTGTAATGTGCATCATAATAATGTGCAGATGTTTGTTTCAATTGTAGCGGAAATAAAGCAAATTCGATTCAAGGTCACAATGTAGTCTATATTTATCTGACAATTTCAACTTACGTCCATGCCCGATTGAAATCGATGTGTGTATGTATGTGTATTTGTGGGTGTATAAATAAAATTATTATTAATAATTTAATTGTGTCTTGATTCATTTGGACCGTTTCAAAACGGTCTTTAAATCCTTTTTCAGCACCGAATATGTTTTCATAAGATGCATTACAGTGCGTTTAGATACGAAATGTTATCAGGTTTAACCCGCATTAACGGGTTTAATTGCTTAATCCGCATTTATTCGACCAGATTAGACTATAGTTATTTTAAATCGACTCGATTTGAAATATATGCAGGGATAAAGAAAACGGCAACGAAGTCAAACGCCATATTTTTTTACACCCTCCACCATACTATGGAGGGTATATTAACTTTGTCATTCCGTTTGTAACTCCTCGAAATACTCACGTCAGACACAACAAAGTATATATATTCTTGATCAGCGTAAAATTCTAAGTCGATTTAGCGATGTCCGTCTGTCTGTCCGTCTGTCTGTTGTAATCACGCTATCTTTCGAACGAATTGAGATACAAGGCTAAAATTTTGCACACAGGTTTATTTTTACAGTAGGCAGGTTAATTTCGTAAATGGGCCATGTAGGTCCACGTTTTCATATAGCCCCCATATAACGGTACCTCCCGATATTCGGTATTTGACCGGAATTGTTTCAAATTTGGTATTTGAAGTTCGAAATGGATACTACAGCCTAAGACAGAAAATTGTCTGTGCAGGTCCACGTCTTCGTATAGCCCCCATATAACGGTACCTCCCGATATTCGGTATTTCGATGATTTTAGCGACATTATTCACCGGAATAGTTTCAAATTTAGTATTTGAGGTTCGAAATAGATACTACAGCCTAAGACAGAAAATTGTCTGTGCAGGTCCACGTCTTCGTATAGCCCCCATATAACTGTACCTCCCGATATTGGTGATTTTAGCGTCTTTATTCACCAAAATTGTTTAAAATTACGCATTTAGAGTTCGTAATGGAAACTCCAGTCTGTGACAGAAAATTGTCTATGCAGGTCCAGGTCTCGTATAGGCCCCATATACCAGTACCTCCCTATATTCGGTATTTTGACGAGTTTAGGCACAATACTCACCGAAGTTGTTTGAAATGTCGTATTTGAAGTTCGTAATGGATGCTACAGAATATGACAAAAATTGTCTACGCAGGTTCAGGTCTTCGCACAGCTCCGATATAACGGTACCTCCCTATATTCTATACTTTGATGATTTTAACTACATTATTCGCGTTTATTTCAAGTTCCGAATTTGAATTTGGTAATGACTCATGACAAATAATGCCTATGTAGGTCCACGTCGTATAGACCCCAATATAAGAACTATATTCGGTATTTTTAAAATTTTACCAAATTTTTTTCAGGATTTTATTTCCAAATTCATTTCAAATGGTGGAGGGTATTCAAAGTTCGGCCCGGCCGAACTTACTGCTTTTTAACTTGTTTTTTTTTTAATTTTATTGAATGAAAGCAAAAATGTCGGAAATAGCAACAAATTTTAGACTAAGTTTAGATTTTTTCGAATTCGTCATTTTTGCCACGAACGGCCATTGAAACCGTCACCCGCTGCCCTACTGTTGCTCTGCGATTGCTTGAGGTGATCGACACTTTGGTATTTTTTAGTGCCAACCTTGCTTTCCAAAATACTTCTTTCATTTTGTAACCATTCTTGGGTGGCGCGTGTTGATTGTCCAAGGTGTGCGGCCAAGATGTTTGCCTGCTCAAGGCTTTAATGCGGAGGCTTACGAACGGAGAGCGACCATCGGCTGTTATGGCAGCCCACACCATCACCATGGCTGACGCTTGAGTTCTCGAGGCCAACCGAAGGTGCACATTTGCAGCTGACCTCTTTGGCAAGGAAACACGATTATTTTGTTTTTTTACAAACTGCTGGACAACGAATGTTTTCTCGTCGGAGAAAACCAAAGCGATGTAAGTTCTTGGCTCATTTTTCAATATTTGCCGAATGGAATATTGCGATATGTTCAGCTCACGAGCCATCTTTCGGCCACTGCGACGCGGTTTTCGATCAAGTCGCTTCTTTACTAGTCGAACCATTTGTGCTGATGTTGCTGTTTTCTTCCGTCCACTTCCTTGACGACGGGCTACGCTACCAATATCACGGTAACGAACGATGGTACAAGACACAAAAGATTTATTCACATTTAAAAGCTGGAGTGCTCTAACCATAGCCAGCCAAATATGAAGAAAATTCTCAACAAAATGCTTTTGTGCGCTTGTAAACAATGTAATGGGCTTAGAAATGACAGCAATCTGAAGTTAGTTGCAGTTTTTTCATCTCACCCTGTATATGTAGCACAACCAGAAGGTAGTGTAAGTTCACTAGGACTATTAAACTGCAACTCTATATTAGAACCTTTTTTGTCGAATAGACTTTAAATGGATGCAACAATTGCGCCCTGTTTCAGAACTCCAACAAATTACGAAATGCTGCAACGATAACCCGTGGTACAATAAGAAGGTAGAACAGCTCTTTAAAAAGTACAAAAATACAGGCCTGGGTCTATGCCCGCTTTCTGTCAAGAGCATATGCAACAAGTTGTTCCCAATATTCGGTATTTTGATTTAGCGGCATTATTCTGTAACGACAGGATTTCTCCCCTTGGGTTAGGATAACTCGTCGCTCTCCAGGGGTTCGTACAGAAATCTTATTTGTTGGGACAGAAAGAGAAAGACGCTGGTTTTAGTGTTATATGGCAAATAAAAATGATTTTTATAGTCTTCGGTTCGGGATTGGAAGTGGGTCTTCAACTCGAGACCTGGATAAGTACTCGAGACACGGGATAGGGACACTGGATTTGGGTGCTGAGGATTCGGAATGGATTCAGTACTTAGAGACCTGGGTATTCAAGGGTATGGTTGTAAGAGACCTTAATGAGTACTCAAGCACTGCCAGGATCTAGAATACGGTTGCAAGAGACCGGAACGAATTTGGTTATTTTCAAAAAAATAAAATCCGTTAAAAATTCGGTTAAAATCTTAAAAATACCGAATGTAGCCGTTATATTAGGGTCTATACGACGTCGTGGACCTGCATAGGCAACTTTTGTCATAAGCTATTACAATATTCAAATGCGTCCTGACAGACGGACGGACATCGCTAAATCGACTTAGTGGGGTCTAAAATGTATATTTCGAGGTGTTACAAACGGAATATTTATTGGAGTAATAGATATGCTGATATACCGAGTTTATTACTCCGAGTGAATTACTCTTGAATATGAAAAAAATCTATTCAATTTGGGCTATTACATGTATGGAGAGCAATAACCGTAAAATCAGATGTATATCGAGGCTATATAAAAATCTGTACCGATCTCGATAAAATTTGGCAGATGTATTTTGAACAGTATCTGATGCCCGCTATCAAATATCATTATTGGGGGATGCATATTACGCATGTGAGGGACTTTAATACCAAATCGGATGAAACATATATGTGGGAGCTATAGTTATATTTGAACCGATTTACACCAAATTTGCAGTACTGGTTTCTAGGACGGATTCAGTCGGAATTGCCAAACTTCCATTCCATTCGGGCCAACATTAGCCATTTGGTGCTCAATAAATCTGATATCGGATAAAGATATATATGGGAGCTATATCCTAATCTGATGCAATCTCAAATAAACTTGACAGAGGTATGTTCGAAATCCTTAAGTTATCTTGTATCAAATACAATTCTTGTGGAGTGCATATTATGGGTGACTTTAAACCCTTTAAACCCTAAATCGGATGAAACCCCATATATATGAACAGATTTTCACCTAATTTAATGTACTTGCTTCTAGACTGACTTCCGTCGGATATGCCAAAATGTAGGTCATTTAGACTTGTTGGTCATTTGGTGGTATTGACCGAAATCAGTTGAAGATATATATTGGAGCTGTATATTAATTTGAACCATGAAAAACCAATAGGTTTCGTCCTTGAGCAAACAAATATAGTTTTGCAAAATTGCATCTCAATCGGATAATAAATGTGACCTGCATTTTGTTCACAAAAAATACATGGAGACGGACTGACATGCATAAATCGACTCAGAAAAGGGATACTATGAAGATCCTCAAAAGTAACTATGGGCCTATCTCGCTTCCCTCTCCATGTTACAAACAAATGACAAATACCCTTACCGTAGGGTCTAAAAACTGAGCTTTCTCCCTCCGAAGTTTCAAAATAGTTAGTCTCTTGTTTTTCCACAAAACTGGCTAAATGGAAGGGGATGTATTGTCGTAATGTTTCTAAAGAGATCTGGCCGGTGATCTCCGAAAGGAGGTCAAGGTCACTTATATCCATGACGAAGCTGGACTTGAAGCTTGTGGTAAGCCTAATTACAGGACACTGCAACATTAAGGCCATGACATCCAAGTGGATACTGCAGGACAAGGAAGAAACTGAGACGGTGGAACACTTACTCTGCTACTGCCCAACCCTTATAGGGGCGAGACAGAGGCTACTGGGTAGGCAAATTCTACCGGATTTGTCCTCCCTCTCCGACACCGAACCAGCAGTCGTTCTTCAGTTAGCCAGGCGACTAAAATGGCTAAAGACGATGCGTTAACACACCGTGGACACAAACTTACTAATTTCTCTATTCGCTATACAATTTCTTATTTCTTCACTCTTAGCTACTCATTTCTTTGGCTTTCTCTATTCTACTCTCGTATTTTCCTAATTAGGATAAATACAAAGGACCAAAAGGTCTCCGAGTGGAGTGGTTATTTTCTTACAACCGCGCATCCTTTAACCTAACCTAATCTGTCTTTCCACAATTCCATTTCCATCCACATATAAAACCCAATAATTAATTAATTAAACATCGCGCTTGTTTAGTTTGTTTCTTTTTTCATTGTTTATTCGTAAAACTATTTGAAAATACTTTGCTAACTACAACTAAATCAGTCCAATATTTTGTATCTGGGCTTAGACAGACGCATTAATCACTTCTTATTTTCCGAACTTTTGGCATCTTCGCCAGATTTTATAGAAGCCGTTTCGGTACGCTGTATCGGAATTTCACGAGCCTTTTCCTCAATTTGCGGTTTCGGCACACTAACAGTTAGAATACCATCTGAGGTTAAAGTTGACATGGCCTTGTCGGACTCATAGCCCTTTGGCAGAGTAAAACGTCGCACAAAATGACGGGATATATAGCCACCTTCCGTATCTTGGTGCTGCTCCGATTTGCCCTCCACAATAACGCTATTCTCCACTACCTTCACGGACAATTCTTCCGGCTTGAATTCCGAAACATTTATCGATACTTGGTAGCCATCCTTGTTGAACCGGCTCATGTCCTCTTCGAGCATGCGATTCATATGGGCAAAAGGAGCCCAACGGTAACTGGTAGTCCAAGGATATTCGAAAAAGGGCGACGATGGCATAGCCAAACGTCTTAAATCCTCCGCCATACGCCACAGTATTGGTAGAGTACGCATTCTGATAATTGGACACTGATTTTTAGAGAGGTTTAGTTGTGAAATTAGTTTTATTCGCTCTTATCTTTCTTCTTATTCGCTTTCTTTCCAACTGATTACGGTAATTTACAAATCGCGCCTTTTTATACTTACCTCCTATTTGCGCGCATTGCACATAAAGAGAACGACGGAGGGGGAGCGAGAGAGCATGCAATATCATTGTATGTGTGTGTTTCTCTTTTTTCAGACATCTCTTATCTCATTGGAAATTTTCTCGAGTTTACTCAAAGCTTTTAGAATTTCTATGAGCAACGAGAGTGCAACAGTTGACATGTGCAGTGAGTCAGTCAATGAATTGCGACAATTTTATTGATTTTGAAAATACCTAGATTTTTAGGTCATTGACCGAATATTCAGGAACGGTCTGGGTTGGTTCTATTCTGTATGCATTTCCATTGCAAGTTTTGGTGTTTCATTTTCGTTTTTAAATCAAGTTTTTTAAATTCGATTTTAGACTTGATCTTGTTTTTCATTGTTTGTTTTAATTTCAATTTTATATTTTTTATACCCTCCACCATACATAGTATGGATAGTATATTAAGTTCGTCATTCCGTTTGTAACTCAACGAAATAATAATTTTAGACCCAACAAAGTATAAACATATATTCTTGATCAGCGTAAAATTCTAAGACGATTTAGCCCTGTCCGCCCGTCTGTTTAAATCATGCTACAGTCAAAATGAATTAAGATTGGAAGCTAAAATTTTGCAAAAATCTGTCTTTTGTCTGCAGGCAGGTCAAGTTCGAAGATAGGCTATTTTGGTCCACAATATCGTATAGCCCCAATATAACTGTATACCCCGACATTCGTTATTTTCATGATTTTAACCACATTTTTCAATGAAATTGTCTGAAATTCTACACAAGGAGTTCTTTATACGTACTTTACCCCATGGGAGTGAATTATTTATATCGGTCCATGATATCGTATAGCCCCCATATAACGGTATCCCCGATTTTCGGTATTTTGATGATTTTAGCCACATTTTTCAACGGAATTGTCTTAAAATCCACAAAAGGAGTTCCTTGGGAGTACATTACCCTCTGGAAGAGAATTGTCTATATAGGTCCACAATATCATATATCCCTTATATAAAGGTTCCTCCCGAAATTCGGTATTTTGATGATTTTTGCAACGTTATTCACCGGAATTGTTTCAAATTTCGTATACAAATTAATTATGCAGGACCACGTCTTCGAAAAGCCCCCGTGCTATAGGAATGCATTTGGGTAGAAGTACTTATTGTTGGCTTACAACTTCGAACACCAAATACTGGGAGAATTCTGGAACAGAGCAAATAAAAAATAATTAATTCTTTAAACGACAACGTCTTACATGGTGAACTGTTTTGCGGATTAAAATCAAACTTAGAATTCCTGAATATATTTGGCTGTAAGGCATATGCATGGATTCGAAAGAAAAGGAGGGAACAACTAGACCCCAAAAGCAAGCACTTAACTATGATAGGGTATTTACCAAATGGATATAAACTACAGGGTGAGATGAAAAAACTGCAACCAAATTCAGATTGCTGTTATTTCTAAGCCACTCGTCAGACAGCTGTTAAAATTATTCCTGTGACAGCTCATTATATTGTTTACAAGCGTACAAAAGCATTTTGCAGCAAAGTTATTCGTGATGGAATTCAAGCGTGATAGTGTAATTTCGTTATATTTGGCTGGAAAACCACAAGTGGCTATCGTTAGAGCACTCCAGTATTTAAATGTGAATAAATCTTTTGTGTCTCGTACCATCGCTCGTTACCGTGATACTGGTAGCGTGGCCCGACATCAAGGAAGTGGATGGAAGAAAACAGCAACATCAGCAGAAATGGTTCGAAAAGTAAAGAAGCGAATAGATCAAAACCCGCGTCGCAGTGGCCAAAAAATGGCTCGTGAGCTGAACATATCGCAATATTCCATTCGGCAAACATTGAAAAATGAGCTCGGGGTAAAGCCAAGTGCAAGAACTTACACCGCAACAGGAAGAAAATAGACTCACAGAGCTAAAGAGTTGCTTCGCTTGGCCTTGGAAAGTGGTGAACTGCCAAATTTTGTTTTCTCCGATGAGAAAACATTCGATGTCCAGCAGTTTGTAAACAAACAAAATGATCGTGTTTACTTGCCAAAGAAGTCGGCTGAAAATGTGCACCTTCGGTTGGCCACCGGCTATGGCCATGGTCGCTCTCCGCTCGTATTAATTGACCGTGGCATCAGAATAAATGCCGAATATTATCGCGAAATATTCTGCAGAGTGTATTAAAGCCTTGGGCACGCAAACATTTTGGCCGCAGACCTAGGACATTTCAACAGGACTCGGCACGCGCCACTCAAAAATGGTTACAAAATGAGGTTCCTCGCTTCATTTCCAGCGCACAATGGTCACCGAAAATCTCCGGATGCCAATCCGTTGGACTATTGTGTCTGGAGTATTTTGGAAAGCAAAGTTGGCACTGAAAAATACCAAAGTGTCGATCACCTCAAGCAAGCGCTTCACCGGGAATGGGGCAAAATACCGCAGAGCAACATTCGGGCAGCGTGTGACGGTTTTATTGGCCGTTTGAAGGCCATAATTCGTACCAAAGGTGACCAATTCGAACAAATCTAAACTTATTCTAAAATTTGATGCTATTTCCGACATTTTTCGCTTTCATTCAATGAAATTAAAAAAAAATGTAAAATTATGGCATTTGACTTTGTTGCAGTGTTTTATCTCACCCCGTATGTATGCAAATACCTTGGGTGTGTCTGATTACTTTTCCTGCAGGAATTGTCCAGCAACTTCTTTTTGAGAGAGTTAGGTAGTCTTATTCTCTTTTGCAAGAAAACTATGAAAAGTAAACATGCGGAATTCTTGCTAAAACTTGCAAGAAATAAGCTAGTTTGTCAAAACAAAGCAAATTGCGCTTGCGATTTCCAAAATAAAGAAGTTTTTAAATGGCTTGTCCAAATATAAAACACCGGAAGGGGAAGATCTTTTGTGTTAACAGACGACTTCTAGCCATTTGCAAAAATGTATACAAATTTTAGGATAATCAGACACACCTCTTATTTATATCGAGCAAAGGGCTATTTAAATTGTCAATCCGTCAATTTCATTGATAATACGCCAAATAAACGCGTAATTTATGTGTCGGCTTAATGCTGTCCTAATGAATAAATTGATCTGTGTTAGGTTTAAGAACACGGACGGATAATAGTTTAACACATCCAAATTAGGAGCATGATAAACAAACTACCCGCGATCAAAAATTACTGACACAAAAAACTAAAGATTATTAATTGAACTAAAAAAAATAAATATTCGATTATTATTTACTTCGATATTCAGAAATTAAATTTAAACAGACGATGGTGAATTGAAGAGAAATCTGACTGTTTACATTTTCGAAAAATGTGTAGGTATCGTCATGAGATATTATTTAATGCAAATGTTATTTTCAAAAATGTTTCATATTAGACTAATAAAAACAGCAAACAATAAAAATTATAAATATAAATAACTAGCTGGCCCGGTCCGCGTTGCCGGCCCATAGTTTTTGTCTATTATGCATATTTGTCAAAGCATGATTATTCAAAGATATGAATGTTATTAATGTTCACGTACTGGTCGATTAGTTTTTAATTTTTAGTCAAATGAGCAGTAATTTGGAATTTACTGTACTTTGTACAACTCGTAATTGAGGGCTAATTGATTTAAGAATAGGCAAAGTTAATTACTTTTTTGAACCCATTAGCACCTCAGATTGTGCATTAGAGTCCTCATAAGTCCCCCTAACCATGTCGGTCTGTTTGTCCGCCAAAAGGTGGACTTGAGGGGATACTATTACATGGAGAAAATCCTAAAATTTGTAGATATGTTGAAATTTTTGTGTAAGATTTTCATCCCCAAATACTCATTTTTAGCCAAATCCTTTGAAATATGGTAAAATGCGAAACATCGACCTACATTGAAAACTTTCTTCACCCCTTATAATCCAAGATGACAAATAGAGGCCAAATCAAAAATATAGCTATTTTACATCCATTGCCGTAAGATGGGAATTAATTTTATTTGCCATTTAAATTGTAAGTTGGAGTCCATATTTTTCATCATAGTATAATTTAATGACGATTCAACAAATATTCGGTCCCGTGCTACTTTTTTATATTTGTAATTTGTTCATGTTTTCACAATTTATTTCATATAGATGTATATCCCAAATCTACGTTCCCAACCAATATTCTCTTGGGGGTTACAAATTCAATAGAATACAATTTTTTCTTTTCTGACCACACATTAGATGTGAAAGTGGACTTGGGGATACTCCAATGTGGGGACTTTACATGAATAAATTTCTATGTGGCAATTATCTGTACGATGGTTCCTTACCCCAGGGTAGCATAAATAAAATTTTTTAGTGGTCAAGACCAATATGGGCCCTACTCCGAAAATTTTATGCGAAGAGGTTCTCTACCCCCCTTAGAAACAAAGATGCCAAATAAGGGCCAAAAATAGAAGAAAATGGCGAAGACTCCAAAAATGGCTTAAATCATACGATGATTATTTATGATCGATATCATGACCTGCTAAAGCGATTTAAGGTATCTTAAATGTTCAGGCAGAATTTTTGGAAGGATAGAAATCCTTTTCTTACTAAAAGTCCCATTCGCTCTACTATTTTACACCCTTTATATTTGGTATTTTACTGATTGTACTCCCAAAAATTTTTGCATTTTGAGCTCTCATTGGACGGATTATTGTCACATGAAAGAAGTAGGGCCACGCTTTGAAATAAGCCCCATTAGTCTTTTTCGGTCATTTTTGTTTGTTTAAATGTCTGCGCATCTTCCAGCTGAAGCACGATGTAGGCCCTGGAGTTGAAAGGTAGATGTCAGTTACCATCGTATTTCGCACTTATTTCATTTTTTTGGTGAAAAATTGTATATAGTGAAAAATTATTCTTTATTTTGTTCACAAAAAATCCACTGAATTCAATATGATATTACAAATTGAAAAAAATTGACAAAAGAAGAATAACAAATTGAAAAAATCTTTAACTTGTTCGCTGATTTTTTACAGCAACTGTTTAAAGA